AAGACAACGATGAGCAGCAGCACGACGACGAGTAGTAGAGGCAGCCTATGCAGCAGGTCGGCCATGTAATGGTCGTGGAAAGGGCAGCAGCTCCACGTCAGTGGTCGACCGTCCAGCGAAGAAGTCCATTGACAGAAGAAAAAGCGCGGGAAGATCTGTGCTCCGACGTGCAAGGCGTGACGACAACCGACGAAAACGACGATCTTCCAAAATAAAACCGTCGTCGCCGAACGTAGTGCCGACGCGTACAAGCATTCAAATTTCGGACCGTTGTCGACGATTGCCCAGCGCAGCAGACCGCATGACACCGGTCGGCGACGCCTGATTCGACGGACGGAGGCCTCACGCGGACGGTGACCGTTTGGAGCTGTTGGGGTGCCACCCAGACGGTGGAGGGCAGGGATGTCCGTGCTCCCGTTCGCTGGACCATGTAAGGACCACCCTCAAACTAAAACTGTGCGTCGACGCATGCCTTCGCGGCTCCGAATTCCGCGCTTCCTTGTGCTCCGAGGGACCTCGGGAGGTCCCTTGGGGATTAGGAAAAGTTGGTTGTAGCCACAAGGACGCCACAAGGAAATTTCCTTGTGCTGTTTTCACATTTTTTTTCATGAATCGTCCCCAAGGACAGGTGGAACGAGCACTTCCTTGTGGATTTCGGGTCCACAAGGAGTGTCTAACGAGGCCCATAGAATATGAGATCAGCAATTATGGATTACTTCGAGCTTCTACAAAAACCGGATTCAGGATTTCAGTGGCGGTAGAGGCTCACTCAACGCCAGACAAAGCTGCTATGTTTAGTGGTCTAGGTTAGCCGATGCCTGAACGACGCTGGCCTGTGTTGGGGCGTTTCGCCGTGTAATCTGCTTACTAGGCAGGAGGGCCAAGCCTGGTAGAGTGATCTGGGGATTCATTGAGGGTGGAAGGCAATCCAGTGGCTAACAGGGGGCTGCAGCCAGGTAGGACAACTGAGACTGGTTTCGATTAGGTCTATAGCGTCACTTGGAATGTGGGATTTGGCAGAAGTGAGGTTAGAAGTTGTTCGAGAATTTCAAAGCTTTTTTTGAAATGCTTCTCAGTTGAAGACGGGTAATGGCCCCAGTATCCTCAAATGTTTATTGCAATCTCATAAGGGACAATGGTCCCGATTTCCAGTACGTGTCGCTCCCCTCAAATAGATCAGACTCATCAGAGCTTCTTTTTATTTTTTTGAGGAGGCAACTGCGCCTGTGACCGTTGCATAGTTCAGAATTCGCAGAAATAACAGTCCACTGCAAGCTTGGGCGAAGACCAGTTAGAAACTGCACGAAAAACAGTAAATCATGCGTCCGACGGCCTACCGGTTCAATAATTGGACAAAACGGGAGGTGGCGGTAGTGGTACCACTCTTTTTCCCATGGCCACCGGTAGCTGGCCCTCCCGTTTTTGGCTAGTTTCCCCAACGGTGTGGCCTAGGCATCTTGGTCGTGTCCCAGCCACGGGCGTGGCCTAGACATCTTGCCCATGGCCCAGCCACGGGTGCAGTGTGGCCTAGACATTTCGACCGTGGCATAAGCAGACGCAAAAAATGCCACAGGCATGATAAAAAAAAAAAAAATGGCGCATGCACAGAAAAAACAATTAATAATAATAAGAAATGCCGCAGGTTAGTGAGTGCAGTGCAGCAGTCATAGACGACATGCAGCGAAGTCATTCAAGGCTTTTCAAGCGAATGAACACAACGATGAACTAGAACATATTCATCCATCAATAACAAAGACGAACTTGAAATTGCCGAGAAAGATAAGAACATAAGCGCACAGCGACAGCCGAGGCTGTCGGACGACAATCCCAAGAGACGTGCGACGAGCGCGGAAACGCCCTGCACACGTACTACGCCTAAGTCTCGACATTCGAAGAGGTCCTAACAATCGCTGTTGCTACTTTTAAAGTCCTACAACTCCTAGCAAAAAAACAAACAAGTCCTACTTACTACCAGAAGAGACTCTCTCCAACAGCAAGGGACACCGAGGTCCACCAAAGGGACGACAATAGTACCCGGACAATTTCACTACCACTCTCCATAGTAAAGGACAAATAAAAAGAAAATCCAAAATCGCAGATAACCGGACTTCACAAACAAAGAGTCGTACTAGACCCCAGGGCAGACTTTTTGACAATAGGCAGGGGCTTGGTCAGAATTCAAGACAAATCCAGAGTAATTTGTTTCTCCAATTGGGTCCAGTCGGGAGCGTGCTGCCGAACGAACTTCCATAGGGTCCTGTCAAATAGCTCCCCTGGGAACAACTGCTTCCGCAGTTCTCTTTTCAGAGACAGTAGTCCTTCTTTTGCTCGATCAGACGTGGTCGAGCATTCCCTTATCTTATGAAGCATCCCATTGATGAGAGTGCGCTTCTGTTTTGCACTGGTATATGAGGAGAAATCCTGGAAGCACCTGTATTCCAGCTTCTCACTGCTATCCCAAATTTCTTTGAAATTATTGGCTCTATACCAGCAGGAGGCACGATTTTCCTCAATTTTTCACGACATCCTAGGAATTTCCACTCGTTTTGACCATCATCAGTTTTCTTCAGCTTCAACTTCGGATCATAGCAGTTCTCAAATCTCTTTAGAATATCTTCCGCCTTCCCTCGACTCTTGTTCTCCCAACTTTGCCACACAAAAAGTGAAACTTCATCGATTAAACGAATCCGTTTAACCAATCCTACATCCTTGCCCAGACTTTACAGAAAGGAACATTCAAAAAAACGCACACAAAATGCATGCAATCGGAGAACTGCTTGACTTCCCCATCGGGATTCCTTCTGTTTGTCGAATCAGCCTATCCGAGTCCCACAAGAAGGTATGAGCCAAATCAAACTCAACCATCTCCCTTATCATCTCAAAACTGACTTTCACCCAACCCTTCTCTCCTCTCATCCTTCCAAACGAGGCTCCTTTGCCTCTCGTTCTCACCATCACAAAACTTTTTCCGTTCTTCTTAAAATGCGACAGGATCCAATCAACGGCCGTTCTAATAGATTCGTGGGGTAGCTTACTAAACATTTCTTTAATGTCGTAAGCCGCCCCTTTTAGTTCCCCTTTCTTTCTCTTAGACGACCACTTGTTCAGTTCTTCAAGTTTGGACTTCAACAGGTGAGTGGACTTCAAGTTGAAATGACAGGAAGATGGTAATGAGAAGAGAAGGAAATTCAAGGCCTTCGTGACTCTCTGATTAGCAACCTTCGCCGGTTCCGAGAAGGATGGTGAGATCGGCCTAAACTTCGTCGAATCCTTGTGCTTGGGGAGGACATAAGCCTTCCCCCAAGAACCTTTGTTGTTTCATTTCTCAACCTCTCCCAAACATCTTTCGTCATAGTCCTTCTTCGGCAAGGCCAGGATCTCGTCTTCTTCTCTCCAAACAGGATTAAAGGCTGCATTGTCCCAAAATGTCTCTTGCATGCCCTCCTGATACACTAACGGATATGCGTCAAGTGTTTCGGCTGGATTTTTATCCAACAGGCAGAACACCAGCCCCTTTCATCTCCGTTTCACTCTCTTAATCGCATCAATCGGTCCCTCGTCACCATTCTTCTTCTTACGAACACAACACCTTACCTGCTCCAAGGTCCAGGTTGAGGCTAGCCCTGCCTTACGCAATTCCTCATTCAATTCGTTAAGCAACCTAGCATCATCCTATTCGCAGTCAATTCCTTTAACCACATTATTCGCATTCTTGATTCGGGGATCCACTTCGTCCCGGCTGCTCAGTCGAAAGGCCACGTGTTCTCCCTGTCGCGAGAGTTGAAGGTTTGCACAACAACAGACCGTTGCCAAAAGGCGACTTACTCGCCTATGGTTATGGAAAAGACATCCGATAGTCTGGTTCTTTCTCCAGACTAAACGGAGCTTCTGACACTGTAGCCGGGCTTCTGCAGCATACGAGCTCTGCTCCTCTATCTTCCTGAGAGACTGCCTTCTAATCTCTAATCTAGAGATCCGATCATCGTATCTAACACCAATAACAATCCTCCTCCTTAAACTTACCCCAAAGTTATTCTTCGTGACACCATCAATGATACCCTTCAGCATTTTTCTTGAGCTTTTCCTCGAAGCACTTCTAATTTCCTGATACAGTTCAATTAGCGGATCAAGCTGGAGCGAATACAACTTCTTTATAGACCACGGGCACTTCAACAGCTGATAAAGTTGTTTCTTCAGCGCGAGATTCCCTGGAGATCGTTCCCAGATTCTAACAGATCGAACCGCTCCTCCTTTCTCGAAGGTCTGTTTTACCTCTCTTAACTTCTTTGTTGACCTCCCAAACTCCACATCCGATTGTCTGAACACCCGCTTAACGATACTCCAATCTTCTAACCAGATTCTTCCTCCACTGGAAATAACTGTTCGTTTTTTCTTCCCTCTAATTGACCTGACAACCTTTGAGAGTCTCCCTGAACCCACCCCATTCTCAGTATGAAACCTCATAATTTTCTCATCCTCCAAGCACTCTCTTCTTCTCTTTTTTCTTTCCCTCCTTCCTCGTCGCCCCTTCTTCTTTCGATTCCTCCCGTCCTTCCATCCATTCACATTCAAAATAGGGCACCAACGTCTAATCAATCGCTGTTCAAGCTTCTTCAGTTCCGATTTGTCGGCTATGGCAACTGGCAGGGCAACATACGATTCTCATCCCCACTTTCTTAGCCACTGGTAGAGTTTTTTCCTCCTCGTCACATAGTGGCCTTGAGTCCTACCAATATGCTCAGCCCATCACTCATTAAGACGCCTCTCGGTTTTCCCTATATACGTTAATTTGCACCATGGATCCAACAGGAGATATACACAAGCGTTGGGATCATCCCACCTATCACGGTTCTTATCGTAGACTTCCCAGATACATTCAACAAATTTCTTCCCCCAACAAATCTCGTTATCCAAAATCAGAAGAAGAATAGCATTACGAAGAATCTTTTCCACCAACGACAACAAGCTATTTCCTCTCTTATTCAATTTGCACCATCTCCTGACCTCCAAGAATCTCAAGAGGTACTCCCATCTCTCGGAACTATTTCTCGACTTCTCCTTCGGGGTCTGGAACTTCGCCCCCTATCTGCTCTTCTTCGGTAGACTTCTTCGACGTAGAACCTGAGAGCTTCTTACCTCGATAACAGTAGGTAACTCGTAGCTCCGATAGAGTGTCAATTGCGTCATTCACCCCGTAGAAAGGCAACCCTACTCCTTTGCACATGGTCTTCAGCGTGTCGAGGTAGAAGGAACCAATGGTCTTTCTCACAGCCTTCCGATAAGCAGCTTCAGTTGCGTACTTCTCACCCGTAGGAACTCCTTCCCACGGGTCTTCTCCTTTGGCAAGCCTTGCGACCTGTGATTCAGCCTTCGTCGGTCTTCCCCGCCCTTTCTTCTTCTGGCTACCTGGAGTTTCAGTACCCTCCTTCCTTCCAAGTTTCTTCGGGGTCTCCACTGGCGGGCTATTCTCCACCGCCCCTGTTGAGTCCCTCCTTTTTCTTTTGTCATTAAGCGGAGTTATTACTTCCTCTGCCTCCTCTTCAGATTCATCTGAACTCGGTGGTGTAGTTGCTTTCCCTTTCTTTTTATCTCCAATCGAAACTCCTCTCATCTTCTTACTCAAAGTCACCAATTTATCCAGTTTCGAGTCATACTCCGCCGCTTGCTCCGCTAGAAGCTTTCGAATCTCCCATTGCCTCTTCCTCTCCTTCTCCTCCTTCTCCAACTTCTTTTGCAATGCATGCTTTGCCTCCTCCTCTTTCGCAGCTTTCTCTGTCTCTTCTTTAGCCTTTCGGGCTTCCGCTTCACGCTTGGCGTCCTCCATTTCTTTCTGCTACTCCAGTAACTGCTTCGCCATCCTTCCAACTGAACTCAGCGAGTCTTCTAATTCTCTACTAAGAGAAATGATCCCTCCACTGCTCCCCAATCGCCCTTGCAACATAGGGCACTGACTCTTATAGTGCCCTAGTTCTCCACACTCATAGCACTTGACTTGTCTCACGCCTTCGCTCCTTCGCCCATAATCCTCTGCTGAGTTGCCTCGTCGGCTGTCATATCTTCGCTCACGGTCTCTTCCTCTTTCGCAACGGTCTTCCCCACTCTCCCATCCCCCACTATCATACCCTCTCCGTCTATCATGCCTTCCCCACGATTCACTCCTTCGACTCCCCATGCTTAGCTGCGCCTTCTAGGGGAGGAAAGAACATACAAGGCTACAATGGGCATTCAACGCCCCTTCAACTTTTTAGCTCCTGTGCACTTCTTCGGATACGTAACACCTTCACGTCGTCAGGAAACGTCCCCAATCTTCTCTCAACGGACCTACCCTGGTGTAGTCAACGAAGCTTTTCTTACCACCCCTGTACGCCTTCATCAGGAAACTTCTCCTCAAAGCATCGATATCTTTGATCTATCCTTGAAACTTGCGCCGTTTACGAACATCGGATCCTCGCTATCACCAAATCCGAGTGACGTCCCTCAGCAGGTTATAGCGCTCGGTCACAGGTTAGTGATTGCGGTGCAGCAGTCGTAGACGGCATGCAGCGAAGCCATTCAAGCGAATGAACACAGCGATGAACTAGAACATATTCATCCATCAATAACAAAGACGAACTTGAAATTGTCGAGAAAGATAAGAACATAAGCGCACAGCGACAGTCGAGGCTGCCGGCCGACAATCCCAAGAGATGCGCGAGGAGCGCGGAAATGCCCTGCACACGTACTATGCCTAAGTCTCGATGTTCGAAGAGGTCCTAACAATCGCTGTTGCTGCTTTTAAAGTCCTACAACTCTTAGCAAAAAACAAACAAGTCCTACTTACTACCAGAAGAGACTCTCTCCGACAGCAAGGGACACCGAGGTCCACCAAAGGGACGACAATAGTACCCGGACAATTTCACTACCACTCCACAGTAAAGGACAAATAAAAAGAAAATCCAAAATCGCAGACAACCGGACTTCACAAACAAAGAGTCGTACTAGACCCCAGGCCATACTTTCTGACAATAGGCAGGGGCTTGGTCAGAATTCAAGACAAATCCAGAGTAATTCGTTTCGCCAACTGGGTCCAGTCAGGAGCGCGCTGCCGAACGAACTTCCACAGGGTCCTGTCAAATAGCTCCCCTGGGAACAACTGCTTCCGCAGTTCTCTTTTCAGAGACAGCAGTCCTTCTGCTCGATCCGCCGTGGTCGAGCATTCCCTTATCTTATGAAGCATCCCATTGATGAGAGTGCGCTTCTGTTTTGCACTGGTATATGAGGAGATGTCCTGGAAGCACCTGTATTCCAGCTTCTCACTGCTGGAAAAAAAAGGTCCCATCCGTGAAAAAAAAAAAAAAAAAACACGAGTGGCCGCCTGATTTTGCCACTTCCAAACTTCCAATGGCTAGATTCCGCTGGGAGTGTACAAAGCTGTTCTGTTTTTGCAGTTTCTAACTGCCCTCCCTTGGCCCAGAACCGCAGTTCCCTGTTGTGTTACTCCTGCGAATTCGGAATTATGCACGGGTCACCCGTGCAGTGTTCTGTTAGAAGTGCACAAAGCTGTTCTGTTTTTGCAGTTTCTTAGGTTTGCCTGCCTCCCAAGTAGTAGTACCCTTCGTCCTATGGTTCACCTAACTGGTTTTGCCATGACGTCTTTTTGCTTGCTTTTGGCATGCCTTGATGCTTTTCTTGTCCGATTGGTCTTGGCATCCATTGAGACCTATTTCTTTGGTTTGCATGCTTGGTGTGCTTACCTGTTGTATGCCCTCCTGCCTCCCCCATGCCCTCTAGCCTATATGCTTGGGACTTCTGAAAGCTGGTCACGGAGAACCACGTATGTATGAGGTACTAGCTTCATGAGAAGTAGTGGAGTGGCAACATACAGCGTTAGTTTAGCTGCAGCAGGGCGGGGTGTACCATGAGTGATATGGGGTCTATGGTGTGGTACGCCATGGGATATGATTGGACACATTCGCACACACATACAAAGTTCTTTTCTTTTTTTTAATAATTAAATTAAAAAAATAATAATAAGTGAAAAATTCCAAGAAAGATTGGGGGGGTCCCCTGGAACCCCCCCCAAAGCCGGTGCCAAAACCCAGTCGCACAGCCACAGGCACCCGGTCACGAGTTCCGTGACCGCGCGCCCGGCCTACGCTCATAGGCCCCCTGGTCATGACCGGGGGTATGGCACTGGCCCACAAGAGCGAGCGAGGATAGATAGATAGATAGATAGATAGATAGATAGATAGAGAGAGAGATAGATATATATATATATATATATATAGAGAGAGAGAGAGAGAGAGAGA